TCGAATTTTCTGTAACTTGTTGTATGATTTCATTCTTCAACTGAGCCCACCTCTAAGTTGAAAAGGGCTGATGGTTGTAAGGTAGCTTCAATCACTTTCTAATTAAATAACTGCTCTGGCTCATTGTCGTTGATCTCACTGGTCAACTCCATTCCCAGAGGCCAAATTGAAAGGGCCATATAACATGGTCTGATCCATCGAACGCGACCGAGCTTCTTGAAAAAATCCCGTTGCTTGCGACAAGAAATGTAAAGTATACATCTCAGTATCAAAACACTGATTCAGTCAACGACATGGTCTTTGCTGACACCTTACATGGCTCTTTTGTCCCATACGGTACTGCGGGCGACTGCTACAGCATGAAGGACTGTCCCCAGGTGAGAAGAGCATTGACATTTTCGATAAACGGTTTTTTGAAATTTCTGCGCATTTCAGGGCCGATTCTCTGTAGATCTCCGTGGGACGGGGTTGAGAATCGTTGATGATCTGCAATGGGAAGACAAAGGACATCGAACCACGTCAAGGATTGACAGATCATCGGTAGGTTCCATATCATATATCTCGAAGTCTGATTAGGCGTGTCTATGGGTTTGACGTGGCAGCCGCCGCACTTGATAGAAGTTGCGCGGATAAGCTGCTTCCAGCATGCTTTGCTGATATCCAATGGAGTATGTTAGAAACAGCTTATCACACGGCTTCTATCAAGTGCGGTGACGGCCACGTCAAATCCACAGGCACGCCTGAATCTGACTTCGAGATAATGGGCTGTATGTGTGAGCACTAAATTTCCAATTGTTGCATATTTTTCATTCTAATGATGTTGGCTTTTGTGGCCTTATCAAAAGTTTAACGTTTTGTTTTTTCCCAGAACAATGCTGTGATCGATGGTCGATGTGGCGGTTATTGTGGCAAATGCGCTCCGGATAAATACAAAGGGCTCGTGTTCAGCATCGATCCAAAGCAAATAACTGGCACCTGATAGCTGCGAAATTCTTTATACGCCCTTTGGTAGTACGGAATTGCTTATGCACCGATGCGTTTACAATGGCATGATGAATAGTGGACTTGTTGCAGTAGTTATGATTTGTTTTAGCTGTGTTTATCTCTTGTTTGTTTATATGTACCGATAATTGATCATTTCACTAATCACTAACATTAACTAAACCATCTCTCACTCACTGCCCATTGAATACATTTCGATATCCCTCTTCTAGCAGTGTTTTCGTTTGTATTGATATCTTTCAATGTCAAATGTTGTTCATATTTATATTATTGTTATGAGCTCTCTTCAGTCTTTTGTGTTGCGAATTCTCTTTTTCTTATAGGTAAATTATTCGATTTAACTTGCCTTTCATAAACTGCTTTCTTGTGCTCAAAAATAACTAAGCATGTTGTACGCATTTCTCTTTTCTTCTCCTGCCTAAACTGAAGAGGTGTTATTCTAGTGAGTTTATATGTGCTGTTTCGCTTCTTCTTCTTCTTTCATTGAATGGCGCTCAGTCTTCTTGCACTGCACACATCTGCTTCACAATGAAGTATCTACTCTTCATGAATAAAGCAATCAGACTGCGTTCCATTACACAGAGAAGTACATTCGTTATGTCTGTTATCACTGTATGTTGCGAATTTCAAATGCAATGCTGCCAAGCCACTTCGTGTCTCTCACATCGACCAGTGCTACGGTTGTTCACTCCACATTATTCACTGTCAACATTGATTTTATGTCATATTTGCTTTAAGCCCTGCCGTGCATAATCATTCGAATTCTGCCTGTAAGAGTGCAAATTGTATTGTTTTATAGAATTTGCGAAGCTTTATAGAAATTTGTGAAGATAAATTATTACTGATAAATAGAGAATAGAATTCTTGAGTGACTGCAGTACCAATGGCAGTGGCTTATAGTTTGAGAAATCGTCAAATTTATTCACAATAAATCTAAAGTTCCATACGATCGGAAACCTAGGTTTCTAAACGGTTAGAAGCTATTCAGCCAACAAAACGATTGATTTCGTAATTAGAAAACATTTATGGATAGAACAATCAACGTAAAGGCGTTACTGTACAATGGATTAAAATTCTGAGTCATAGGAATGTGGGGCTAGCTTTACATGAACGCGGCTAAGCGCATTAGGACATCACAGACTTGAAGTATGATTTTAAAAATGGGACGGATGGTGGTGCATTAGATCTCAAAGCTATAGTAAAGTAATTAGCTATTCGCAGTGGAATAGTTGACAAATATAATATCGCAGCCCACATCTACTGAGGAACTAGTGTCGGAGAGTTTCCCCACTTCTCCGAAATCCAACGGATTGTCTTAACATTGATCTGTGGCCCGATGAGAGGATTCAGCTGATGCAAATAAATCTAAAATCAGCCGAATGAACAAAATTTCAAAACATATTTAGGGTAAAAAAACGAATACCCACCATGATCCAGAAGAGATGGCAGCAGACGGCTGTCATGATAATCATAGTCTGAATAATTCCTGAAACATAAAGATACTTACTGAACAAGTAACTCAGGAAAATGGATGATAAGCCTACACATTTTCTTCAGCGAAAGGGCGCTGGCGAAACAGCGCCTGAATCAGCTTTGAATGCCAAACGGAGGAGTTAACAGTTAAACGCTATTTTTGAGTAAATGCCTAATTCGCGATTCACTGATTGTGAGACAAATTGGATGTTCTACGAAGAGAGTACTATTTATCACAGGGCTCTAGTCGACTGTTTTGAACTAGCCCAAGTCCATCATTTTGAACTCGTTCATGTCCACTGGGGTTACCATGGTCTTGCTGAGAGGGCGCAGACAAGCCGAGGGGGTAAACGAAGTTGCACGAGTAGGGATGCAGTCGCTACCGCGGTGCACGGCATCTCTACGCCTTCTCTGCGGAACATTTTAAACTTACACATTCCAGCTTTTCAAGCATTTTAAGTGACTGGTGGGGATCGCTGAGGCAGAAACGATTTTTTCGTTTTTCGCAGCGAACTTTTTTTCAACGAAAACTCTATGTCCACCCATGGGATGGACTTGAGATTCCCGCAGCTTTCAGTCCTACCAACCCACACTCTCAAGTGACTCAACCCTCCTTGCTCTCAAATTAGGTACTCATGGTCAGATTCCCCCTGCTCACGGATTCCTCTTTTTGCACTGGCGGCGGCACGTAGTGCTCTTATGAAGCGTCAAATAAGGCACCGATCTATGTAAGGCCGATGTCATAGTTTGCGAATCGAGCGATTCGCTAGCGAATCGCTGGATCCGAGCGTTGCGCCAGCGAATCGAACGTTGCACCAGCGAATCGAACTATGTACCAGCGACTCAACACTGTTTGAAAGTGGCGGGTCGATTCGCTGGCGCAAAGTTCGATTCGCTGGTGCAACGTTCGATTCGCTGGCGCAACGCTCGGATCCAGCGATTCGCTAGCGAATCGCTCGATTCGCAAACTATGACATCGGCCTAAGGTTCGACCAGAATGAACATCTCAAAAAAGTAGCGAGGAATAAAAGACTTGAGAAACCTTCAGAAACAGCTTACACAAACCTCTGTTAGGTCCTTTTGGTACCAAGAATGGTCCGCCAGCACCGACTAGAAGCCAGAATGCAGTGACCGATACCAGCGGTATAACCACGCCCATCTGAAATAAAGCAATTGAAGTGAACGACCAAAAATGGATATCGGAATAGATCCCTCCACGAATTCGTTCGGAAGAGGAGTGCGCGCGTAATTGGCGAAGGAAGAGATGTAACAAGCGATGATCTTGGTTGTTGCATAAAGTGTATGGATTGCAAGGAATAAAATAACGTGGACAATGGATATGCGATAATTCTCAGCCGCCTGATCGCTGTTCTGGACTCTCCCGGCACTTTTTCCATTGTGTAAATCTACGCTCTTCGTTTCTTGGAGAACCCACCTATGCCCTCTAACAGAAAAGGCTTCTCAGTAGAACATCTCTTGAACAACGCGTGCCCAACTAACTAAATGAATAAAGGAGCAGAACTCAAACGATTCAAGAAAAGATGTGTACCACAAGATATACCTTTGAACCCTGATCTCAAATCTACCCTCCAAATCTGCTAAACGATTCTTAACGAGTTAGGCCACAACAAGGCGCAACGGTAAAGGCGAGCTCAGACAGGGTCAAGCGTGCGTTGAGGAATCCTCGACACGTCGCAGGGGGGGGGTCGTATTGGCCCGCTGGGTGGAAGAGATCGAGCCATTTTGATGCAGTGGGATCATCACCGTCGGAAGACAAATATCAAGGATGAGTCGATGCCAGGCCAGAGGATTTCCAATGAAAATGATATTTCACCCACACAAAATTTTCGTGATTCTGAGGCGTCCGGTAATTCTTAGTTACTTCAGTGTTTTATCACCACACAAGTTAAAGAATCTGAATTTCGCGCTTTCCAAGAGATATTTCATCTTTCAAGTAAGACCCCGAATCTGAAGGGATGTGAGGTACACGGCGCATCCGAGAAAGGGTCTAGTTGTTGCGCGCGCTTCAACTACGGCTCCTTGGACAAACAACCTCAATTCAGGAACAATCGAGAGAATTCTGAAAGTGTCCGTGCGCATTTACAGGGAGGTGTACACCATTCAACACTTGCGTTAACGGACTCTTCAGGGTTAAATTTATAAACATGTAACCTTTAAAGTTGAGAAACGCTAATCAATCACTTTTCTTAGAAAGAGAAAAGCAGTGATTCCAAATCTGCTCTTACTTTAGTACATAATCGCCCTTAAAAGGATATACAGCCGTTGAAATAGTGCCAATGTAGCGAAAAAGTACCTTTCGGCGGTACTCGTGCGAAAATCCTCAACGTAGCCGTTTTTTTAATACTGGACGTTTGGAGCAGTTCTAGTAAGCATTTGATAGAGCAAATCTTCTAGTTTATGATGGCGTATTTACTTTTCGGATTGGATGAGTTTGAACGGAGTTATGGCTTTAGGAAATAAAAACTCGCACTCATCACGAAATTTTCCTCGTTAATTTTGCAAAAATCCTCAACGTGGCCATTTTTTGAATACTGGACGTATGAAGCTGCTTTAGCACCGTTTGATAGAGAAAATCTTCTAGTTTTGTATGACGTATCAACTTTTTGAATTTGACGGAAATGAAGCAAGTTATTGCTCCGGAAAGTGTAAAAACTCGTGCTCGTCTCGAATTTTCCTCGTTATTTGATCTAAATTTGTTATTTCTTATAACTTCCTGTAATTTCAGTACTGATTAGAAAAGCTCTTCACAAAACTTCCAAATCTGCTTTCAGATTGAAAATTCGTCATATTTGAAGAAAGTTATAATCATTTGAATATTTGTTCAAATTTCAATAGTAAATAAGCTGCTCCACGGTCAACGCCAAAGTCCAGTCAACACACAGCTGGCGAAGGCGGTTAAAAAGCTTCTTTCAACTGAAGGGCTACGTGCAAATTGAGAACCACAATCTGTGTAGTACTAGAATTTGGTAAGTCTTGTGGAGGAAATAAATAAAGAACAGATGTTGGGTATGCCATTTTTAGTGGCTAGTTTGTCGTTTTCTGGTCTGTTTCTCGTTTGCTCGTTTGGTAGGACTCATCAATAATGATTATTCTTTGACTTTTTCACTTTTGTACTTCTTAAACGAATTTTTTTGTGGGCGGTGGGGTAGCAGGGCATTTATGAGCAGTTTTGGGGGAGAATTAAACAAGCTTTTCAACCTTTTCATAGTTCGGCTTTTGAAGAGGGTTGTTTCATGGACTTCGGCCTCCGGCGGAGGGTGGTGGGGGGGGTCGTATTTCCAAATTTTCCTCAACGCCTCGCTTGACCCTGGTCCAGAGTAATAACTTCGTAGATCGATCTTATCATGTACTGTTTTCTTTATATACCAGTTCCATTCTCGGGAATACAGCTAAAAGGCTTTAATTAGCTAATTTAGTCGAGTTCCTGAAGAACGCAAAACAGTATACACGATAAGGGACTGATTCCACGACATTTTGACTGTGAATCCGGACACTACCGTTGCGCTACTTTGCTTCATAACTCCATTCAGAAGAATCGTTCAAATTTGGAAGGTAGTTTTGAGATCAGCATTCAAAGACATATAGTGGTATACATCTCTTCTTGAATGGCCATGGCAAGCTGGAAGCCTCTCCTTGTGAGGAAACCAATCCATTGCTCCTGTGCTTCCTTCTCCTCCTCGCATGTCAATAGGTCCACGTCTTGTGATAAAAGAACGACACAGAACGCAACTCACTTGGAGCTATCGCAGGAAATTCTTTACGGGGAATGCTCTAGGACTAAGCCTAGGAAGGAGCAGCTACTCCGGAGAAAAATGAGGATTGTTCACGCACTATGAAATCCCTCCTTCCCGTCCGAACCTTAGTTCGTTTTGAACAAAAAAGGCCGGAAATGTAGTTTGGAAGTCACTTCTGTTACCTCTTCCTTGGCAGCTGGAGAGCCTTTATCTCCGACCACGGGTCACACAAGGATAAGACAATGCGTAACGGGCTCACTTGTGGTCTATTTTTGATAGGGACCAGTGAGTGTCCTATATCTCACGCATCTCGCCCACATATCCATCCAGTAGGACCAGGCCATCCAACCTGGAGCTAATCCAGGGTGGAGACGCTGCTACCCTTTACCCTTTACATCTATATTCAGGCAAAACACGGTTTTCGAAAGAAGCTGGGGCGGTCGAACGGTTTTTGCCATTGACACAGAGTAGTGAGTGGCATCACAGAAATTGTTCTTTTTTAGCCGAGGCCCATCTGAAACCAGAACTAGCGAAGAAATTTTATAGAGAATGCGTTCTTATTCACACCAGTATTTTTAGCCCATAACTTCGTATAGGATTAATTATAGTTCTAATTATAGATATTACATGCAGTTGTTAGACCTCGGTCAGACTCGGCGATTGCGTCGCTGGACACCAGCGACGGAGCCGCCAGCGACGGAGCCGCCAGCGACGGAGCCGCCAGCGACGGAGCCGCCAGCGACGGAGCCGCCAGCGACGGAGCCGCCAGCGACGGAGCCGCCAGCGACGGAGCCGCCAGCGACGGAGCCGCTGCCCCCTGCCAACGATCTGATCGTGTGATGACTCATCACCCGATTGCCCACTCTTGTGGCGCCTTGCTCCCCTTGCCAACCGATATCGATCGTGTGCTGATGAGTCATCGCCCGTTGCCCACTCTTGTGGCTGGCGGCTCCGTCGCTGGCGGCTCCGTCGCTGGCGGCTCCGTCGCTGGCGGCTCCGTCGCTGGCGGCTCCGTCGCTGGCGGCTCCGTCGCTGGCGGCTCCGTCGCTGGCGGCTCCGTCGCTGGCGGCTCCGTCGCTGGCGGCTCCGTCGCTGGCGGCTCCGTCGCTGGTGTCCAGCGACGCAATCGCCGAGTCTGACCGAGGTCTTAAGCTGACGTTTCGAACTTTGAAAGCCCCACAGATGCACAAATTGTCACCGCGAGGATTCGAACTACGAGCCACTTCATCATCCTTTTTTCTGGTACTCAGAGGGCCGCTCAGGAAAAATGAACCTACAGTTTCGTGTTCAGCCTGCACAAAACGTTTCGAGAAGCTGAGCATCCTCCGAAAAACTTCCTGCTAGGGTGCGAACAATGTCCACAGCCCTGTGAGGACGCGTTGTCTTTGACGGCCCCCCCCATGAAGGCATAAATGTCGAACCATTTCAGAGTGTGTTTCTGCATACACCGATATTTTTCAGAAACGTATTTTGATGGTTGATTACATAATAGTGATGCGTCCCTCGGCTCAGAAATACCTAACCGATGCGGGCGGGCCTCGGCAAATGCGGCCGTGTCGATTGTGCCCGCGAACCGTTGAAAACGCCCGCGAACAGTGTGCTGAGTTCGCGGGCACCTATGAACTCGGCCGCGTTCGCCGCGGCCGCGCCCAAATGGTTAGGTATTGTCTGGGAGCCGAGCGGCCCTCCTCCCCCCCCCCCCGATCTACCTTTCCACCCGAAAAGCGATCTTTCATGCGCATCAAATGCAATGCCACCACAGTGCCCCGTATCTTGCAATAGCGCAATAGTTTGTAAAAAAACAACTTTTCACAACAAGGTTAGGTCCTTATTCTCCGTTTGGTCATAGAGTAAACATAGTCGAAGAAAGCAGGGCAGAAAAGTTCAAATGAAGGGTGCCATACTGAAAAAAGGACGTTAGTATGACATGATAGCCAGAAAGCAAAAAAGTCGAGAACTCGAAGGAGCTTCGATAGAATGCAAAGGTCAACATTTTCCTTCGAGTTTTCGAAACACTTCTGAGTTGGGGAAAATCCAAAGAGCACGGCGGAAACGCTCCTCATGTTTTTAACGTTGAAAAAATAATGGTGACAACATCACAGTTCGAGTATTGGACAGTAAATAGTTGAAATATTACCGGTATTCGGTCTTCAAATTGCAATGGGAGGACCGGAGATCGATGCAGGCGCAAAACACGCCATACGGACCACAAATTGGACCAACAAATAACTGATTTTACCAAAGCCTTTGCTCACTTTTAACCACCACTTTCTTACAAAAACCACGTGCTATGAAGAAAAATAATAGATCTCCCGTAATTGGTGACAAGATAATGAAAAAACTGAGTTTAGAATGAGGGTTTTGCAAAAGGTGTGCAAAAGTGTGAGCGGCCGAAAATCATTAGACACGCCCATTTTTCTGTGCGCCATGAAGTGCGAGCATGACTGCGTTATCAGTGAAGTGTTCTCACTTGAACATCGTGCTTCTCCTTCTTTGTTAGCGTCCCCGAAAGCAAAATTCATGCAGTTTCATCCATTTCAATCCCAATTGCTTCATTGCATGATTTCTAAGTTGTTCTTTTTACCCAATTTAGTCTTTGTTGTCTCTTAATTGTAGTCTCGATGAAAACATTCCTTCTGGAGAAAATGTTGCATTGTTAAGTTACTGCAGCCAAAACCTCTAAGAATCCCAAATCATAGTCAGGTTCAGAACTGGCAAAAACGAGTGCGTTTTCATTCGTTATCAGGGGCTAAACAATCCCTACAGGCAAGATTTCAACAGAATATTTTTCGGCTTGAGTGTAGTTGAAAGGGGCATACTGGTGCAGAGGATTAAGGAGCTCGAATTCATGGCAAACGTTTTCTTCATACTCACAAAGCACCAAATCGACTCCTCCGTCCCGGAGCCTCCTCTACATATGTACAAAAATGAGACCACTATTGCCGATACATACTATTCCACGGCGATTTAACTGCACTTGTTTGTGCATTATTAAGATTTTTGGGGAAGTTCTAGTGGTATAGTTCTGAGAATATGTTCCGAAATCTTACGGGAGGGGTCATACTTTTCAATCGCGCGATCGCAAGGTCGCAAACGTCGCTGACGCTTAAGAAAGGCGGCGCTTATTTATACGTGTGTCATTCTTTTTGGCTCTGCTTTTTTTTCTAAATTCTGATGCGCTTTTGGCTTTTTTCTAAATTCTGATGCGCAGGCAGATCGGACGTTAAACTCTTCTTATCTCAAGGCGATTGAGGTTCATGCCATGAGCTTACGCTAGCAACTATGTGGCTTTGTTAGATTCCTTATTGGCTTGTAATAGTTTCCATAAATTTTGTGGTGTACGTCTGTCTGTCTGTCTGTCTGTCTCTTGTCTGTCTGTCTGTCTGTCTGTGTCTGTGTCTGTCTGTCTGTCTGTCTGTCTGTCTGTCTGTCTGTCTGTCTGTCTGTCTGTCTGTCTGTCTGTCTGTCTGTCTGTCTGTCTGTCTGTCTGTCTGTCTGTCTGTCTGTCTGTCTGTCTGTCTGTCTGTCTGTCTGTCTGTCTGTCTGTCTGTCTGTCTGTCTGTCTGTCTGTCTGTCTGTCTGTCTGTCTGTCTGTCTGTCTGTCTGTCTGTCTGTCTGTCTGTCTGTCTGTCTGTCTGTCTGTCTGTCTGTCTGTCTGTCTGTCTGTCTGTCTGTCTGTCTGTCTGTCTGTCTGTCTGTCTGTCTGTCTGTCTGTCAAGACTTGAAAAGTTTCCATTGTGAAGTAACGAAAGTAGATAAAATGCGAAATATGTTGCCACATGTGTTCTGTGAAGTGGGGGAGTGTATAGTTTTCATCATTTCGCTTGAATCTTCCGTTTATTCGTTGTTCTATTCATTCGTAATCATAGAGTACCATTTAGGTATATTTTTAAAGAAAATGTGTTGTAATATTCATATTTCAGGTAGGCACCATGCGTAAGTTATGTCCACTTATGGGGCCGAAGCTTTCGTCTTTTGGTAAGTTTGATAACTACACTGGTGTGCAAAACTTAAGGACCAGATAGATAAATTGTCCTAACTTATTAACAATTAGATGGAATTGGATGAAACTGTACGGGCATAATGCTAGAAGCCCTACAGTCATGGGCACCGAAGTGGGCCTCATATGTCTTGCATCCGGCTTCAATCTGGAGCCTAAATGGGGTGGCCACCCAGAACGATGGGTATCGTGGGGCAGGACAAGAGGGGTAAACTAAGCAGGGAGAAGTGACTGTGGAATGTAGTGGTGTTCTTGATTACATCAAGTCTCAGAGACAACACTAGGGTGACTTTACGCGAGGAAGAATCATTGGGAAACTGAAAAAAGGAAGTTGTGTCCAGGAGTTTTGTGTCAACCACAGCATTGTTTTTTGTGCATGAGAAGCAATGTGGACCGCAGCCACTGCTGTCCCAAGAAGAGGAGGTTGTGGGTCACGAACAAACCGCAGCAGCAGGTGATTGCTAGGTTTTGCTACAGGCAAAAATGGACCCACGTCAGTCACATGCTGCAGTTGCAAAAACATTTATCAGGATTGTAAAGGCATGTAATCCCAGTCCGGACAGTGGCGCAGTGACCGCCTAGGAGTGATCTCTCTCATCGATCAACAATACCTGTATTCATTTGAAATCCACGCCTCGGCTGGGACATTTGGTACGAGCCGAGACATTGGAGATGGACCACCGAATTGAAAAATCGCGTATTCTTCCCGGTCAAGAGCAAACTGAATGTGAGTAGTGATTCTGGACTTACCTGCATATGGGGAAAATAGGAACGTGTAATCTACCCAGGACCATCGTTTAACATGATTGTTTTGGTAGTGCATGCGACATGATGTGGGGAGGCATAAAGTTGTCGGGGCGTACTGATCCCCAACTCATGATCGCGTTACACTTTCTGATCAACGTGATTGTGGTGTTGTACCCTTCTGTCATGTGCATCTTTCCAAGGGTTCCCTTGCCCTCAGCTTCAATCGTATGGAGGGCAGTGTGCGAGAGTATCGAGCAGCCTGGGTGGAAAACTCTTGAAAAGTGAGGATTTTCGGTAATTGGTGAAGCCATTTATTTCCTCCAGTCTAATTCTATGGAGCACGTGTGGCGTGGATTCAGATGAGCTATTGTAGCACATGACCATGTGCCAACAATAGTCCTGCAGTTGTCAATCGCGGTCTCCAAGGAATCGGTCACTTCTCCTCAAGAACTCTTAACTAATCTTACGGCCTGTATGGGAACACGTAGCAGAGCATACCTTGCAGTCCGTAGTGTTCATACACCCCATCAAGAACTAGCTCCTCTCTTTTGAGTGTCTACCATGAGTTGGAGAAGCCTCACCTATCGACCGCTTCAGACAGGGTATTTGCAGAAAAATGTCTTTTCCAATCGCCCCTTTGCGCTTTTCTGTTAGTAACTCTCTGCACTGTACCGCAACATTTACTTCTATATATGTGCCAAATTTGGTCCACCTAGGTTAACTAGCAGTGAGATATCATGTGAAAGTTACTTCGGTCCTTAAGTTTTGCACACCAGTGTACTATGATGATTCTCATTGCAATTTTTTGTATCTAATATAAAAATTGTTAACTTTTCAGCATGGTGATGTCTGTATGGGGTGTGATATTCCTAGGTCTCTTGGGAGTATTCTTCTACGTCCAAGCCGTAACACTTTTCCCCGATCTTCATTTCGCTGAGGAATCAAAAGAAGGCGGGCATGCAGTACTGTGACTTTTTGGTGTTTTTGAGTGAGTGCTATTCGTATAACTTCGTATAATGTATTCGTTTAATCCATTAATGCATTTCCAAATTCAGTTTTCCAATTTTTTATCATGTGGGCAAATCGTTGCGAAGTTTTGTTTTGCCAAAATATAAAATTTTGCCGAAGGAGTAATCCAAGGTAGTCGATTATAAGCCATAACTACGAGATCGGTGGAGTGACTTAATCCCAAAAAATAATTTTCAATTCCTCTTGTTTTCTTACTTACAATAATTTTCTGATCGGAGAGTCGCTAAATTTGCTTCAGCCTTTGCCTCTCCTCACCATCGGTCGCTTTCTTTCCGTTTCTAAATCATCCTCAGCCTTCAGGTGGATGTGGAATCATTTTAGTGTTGATGTGCGCGTACCATTAGGCAAAAATACGGCTGTTGTTTCTTTGCTCACTTTGCCCACTACGGCCGTTACCCAGTGGCCTACTTGATATTCTTTGGTTGTAATGGCAGCAACAGTGGGTCTGTTTTCTAACAACTGCTTACTTGATGTCTTATGTGCAGGATTTTTTTTAATTCGAGAAGTCATAACCTTGGTTCTTTAGACTAATATCTTTCAATATAGCCCGTTATTTATGGGCTCTCATATTCTTGCCCATTTCCCATCTTCAAGGAAGTTGAGTGATCAGCACCCTATCTACTTCCTGTGCATGTAACCTATGGGCATATCTGATAATTATGGTATTTGTTGATTTCTCAATTCGTTTCTTCCATTTGTATAGCATTTAGTTGGATGCATTGCATTCCCGCATTTTGTCGATAATTCTTCTTCTTCTTCTAATACATTCAACATATCGAGAAAATCTCACTTCCGGTAGTTGTTTGCTGGCGAAACTTGAGTGAAAATGGATATAATACGATAATACAACACGATGTAAGAATGATTTCACAAGATAGCTAAGGGAATTTGAGACACTGTAGGGAGTTCGTGAACTCTTTTGTCAATTCTAGAAGTTTTTGGTCCTTTTCAAGAGCTGGGAGGACTCTTATTTTCTCTTCTGTTTAATCCTTATTCTTTCAGAGATATTGAGAGCAAGTATAGCGAAAAAGCGATGCAGTGCTGGATAGCGGCTGGAATGTATGGTGTAACGCTGATACTTGTCTTATGGCGACAAGTTAACACAGCCACAGGTTTTCTACAGCTGCCTGTGTTTTTGGTTTTAATGCTTGGTGTTAAAGTGTTATAATTTACGAACTCAGTCTCGCCTACTGATAGTTCAGCATAATTAGATAATTCCTGATCTTTGTAG